TATGCTCCTACCATTCACAAATCCGGATTGGTTTGGAGATATCAGAGAAGGCAGAAATCCCTCCAATATATCATGTAACACCCTATACAAGACCTTGTTAATGAAGTTGCTCAAGCTAATAGGTCTTAAGTCAGAAAAGGTCTCCACTATAGGTTTCTTTGGTAGCAACACTAAATTGGTATGAGTAATGGATTTAGGCAATGCAACTCCTCCATAAAAATGTAGAACCATATTGTGTATGTCAGCACCAATAACATCCCAGCATGATTGATAAAACAGGCCAGTGAATCCATCAGGTCCACTAGCACTCTCCTTACTAAGCTCAAAAACTGCAGACCTAACTTCTTCAAGTGTTGGCATTCTGCTAAACTCCAAGTTCTGATCCATAGTCACCATGGAAGGTATATTATTGAGCAAAGAAAAGTCAGAAGCATCACCTTCACTTGTGAACTATTTTTTTATAGAAGTCCACTACAGCTGTAGCCAATTGCTCCTGATCTTTAATCCATACCCCACTGCCACTCTTGATCCTCTTCAGTTGAATTTCTTTCTTTTGCCATTGACATGATTGTGAAAGAAACTTGTATTCCTATCTCCTTTAGCAAACCAAGTCATCCCAGCTTTTTGCTTCCAATACTGCTCCTCAATACTCAAGTATTTCTTCAATTCAGATTGAGCCTTTCGAAGCATAATCCTATTCTCAATTGTAGGTTCTTCTTCAAACAACATCTCATTCACCCTAAAAATGTCCTCCAAAATAGCCAGCTACTTGAAGATATCACCAAATGTTTCCCTACTCCATCTTGATAGTGCTGGCTTCACCCTCTTGAGCTTCTGCTTGAACATCAAAAAAGGATCCCCTATGAAATCAGCTTCCCAATTCTGCCTCACCACATCCATAAATGTAGAATGCTTTGTCCAAAAGTTCAAGAACCTTAAAGGCTTGACAAAATTAGTTGTCTGCTCCCCACGTGTCATTAGCAGTGGTGCATGATCTGATCCAGTTCTGATTAGATGCTCAACTTCAATAGTTGTAGCATGTTCTGAAATGGAAAATTCACAACTATCCTATCCAATCTCTTTAATATACACTCAGCATTGGGTCTCCTATTCCACCATGTTAATGGACTTACCTTGTACCCTTGCTCAAATAAACCACAAGAATTTACACAAAATGCAAAATCCTCATATTCAGGAGGGTGTACTGGAAGTCCCTCTCTCTTCTCATCTTCACGCAATACCACATTGAAATCCCCTCCTACCAACCATGGCAATTCCATATCAATTGCTAGGTAATACAGGTGATCCCACAATTCTAACCTCTCCATTGCTGAACATTTTGCATAAACAAAAGTCATCATCATGTGCTGCCCCAAGTCATGGTGAAACACTTTCACAGTCATCTGTTGCTCAGTATCCTCCACTAATTCCCATTCCACCACTGCATCAAAGAACAACCATATTTGCCCATTAATATTTGCATAAACGGTCTCCATATTCAACCTCCTTCTATATCTATCAATGAATCCCTTCTTTCGAAAAGGCTCCATCAATGAAACTACACAAAAACTATGCTCCCTATTCATATTGATCACCCTAGGAAAGGCATGCTGTGTATTCGCAGACCTTATGTTCTATATTAATGTTTTGATCATCATTTAGATAGGGAAGCTGCCCTCCTAGGCATAATTCTTGAAGGTTGTTGTGGCTCTTTATTCTGATTCTTCTTTGTTCTCTTACCTCCTTTAGAACTAGCTGTAGGTGATAAATCTTCTTCCCTAGAGACTTGTTTGAAGTTTTCTGCAGTTGATTCATCATCTCTTTCATCCTCCATTGGATTGTCTCAATAAGTCTTCATCAATTGGTGCCACATTTTGTGTAACTAAATCATGTAAATGTTGTAGAGGAGTTTTCAGTGGAACATTAAGATGCAACTGTATAATTTGATCAGTGCCAGATTACATAGGCACTTCCTCTATTTCCCCATATGCTCTTGGTACAATTGCCTGCTCATCAGCCTTTTCCTTGCTATTCTCCATAGAAGAAGTAGCAGTCTGCATCATTTTGAATTGCTGCTCATAGACATTGCCTAGCCCAGGAATTACTGTAGCAGTCTGCTCAGAAATGTCTTTTCTATTGATATCAACACCCTTTCCATTGCCTGTGTTTTGGTCTGACCCCACTGTACCATCCCCAACCTTCACATTATCATCTCCATCAAGTTTGTTCTCTAATACATACACTGGAACACTATCTACATAGGCCAATATATCTCTAGTTGCACTAGGGATAGGGTTTACTGTAGCTGCCTCATTAGGTGAACCTGGTGCCAGGCCTGGCGTCGCCAGCTTAACGCCTAGGGAACCTGGCTTTAGGCCTGGCATCGCCAGCCTAACACCTGGGGAGCCTGGCTTTAGGCCTGGCGTCGCCAGCCTAACGCCTGGGGAGCCTGGCTTTAGGCCTGGCGTCGCTAGCCTTTCGCCGGGTTGGATGTTGTCCCTCTTCTCCTTGTCTCCTGTTGTCTTTGTTGTGCCTAGCTGATCATCCTCAACCGCAATTGCATCACTCCATACAACCTTTGTAGAGTTTACCTGATCAAGATCCTCAAGCTGTTCAGACTGTGCAAATGTTTGAGATGGAATATCTTGACACGATTGGTTTGTAGTCACATTGAGTTGCCTTAGCTCCTCTTTGCTAGTTCCAAACCTTCTATGAACCCAGTCGATTGTGGATTCCTTATTAGCCCTTTCATCAGTACTTTGATCACTAGGAACAATAGAATTAGCCTTAGCTAAGTTCCCATTATGCTGATCTTCCAACACTTTCTCAACTGCTTCCTTCTTCTCACGCTTAAGTTCCTGTTGATTACCTTCTCCAACTAGTTTAGTATTAGCATCTTTCTCAACCCTAACCCCAGAAGCATTAGGATTAGGGCTTGACACTCCGATATTGCCTTCCTTTTCCTTCTCCTGGCGCTTCTTGGATTGCTTTTCCCCATGTTCCTTCTTCTTACCATTGCTATGATCCTCACCTTTGACTTCAGTAATTTGTAGAGTAGGTTGATGAACTTCCTCAACCTCTAGTGCACTAAACTTGTTCTTGGTTGCTACTTCCTCAAGTTTGTCCTTCCCTTTACCCTTGTCAGCTTCCTTTCCTTGTTTGTTATCAACAATGTGACCCCTATTATCCTTTTGGTATTTTTTCTTCCTTGCTTGCATCCATTCCTGCTTGACATGATTAGTAGCAGGCTTACCAACCACCTTTCCACTTGACAGAACCTTTGTTGAATTTGCAGCTGTACCAATTGCTTCAGTACTCATCACAACTGTCTTCTCCTTGCCTTGATCCTCAACATCTTCATCAAATCTCTTGTGTAATTCAGGAAGAATTACCCAGCATTCTGCCTCACTATGCCCTTGTTTCTTGCAGGGCTTGCAATATTTTGGCATATAATCATACTTAGTCCTAATCCATTTAAACTCTTCTATCCCAGATTCATCAGTTTCTTCCACAATCTTAATACGATAATTAACTTACCAAACAAGTTAACTTCTACCTTCACCTTAGCACAACTAGGTCTAGTCCCATTTTGAGTTGCTAAGTCTACATGTAATGGATTACCAACTGCACGAGCTAATGAAAATACACATTCCTTACCAGAGAAATTTAGAGGAAGTTCTGGAAAGCTAAGCTAAGCTATGGAAATTGGAGTCTCTTCATGAGGTGTCCACCGTGGATTCCATTTTGTACAACGCATCTGCCACATGTCTGATTGAGCCTTTAAATAAAAAGCTGGCTTTGAAAGAAGATGAACATAATCCTCCAATAAAGACAACCTAATTAACACATGATTGTCTTCAATCAAGCCAACTGAACAATGACCCTTAATCTCACATTGAATTGGAAACACTTTACGTAATTCACCAATAACAGGCTTACCATACGAAAATTTCCCAAGAACTGCAAGTTGAAGCCCTTGTTGTACGATGGATTGCTTTACTTCTTGTTTCTTCCACTTCACAACTGGTTCTCCATGAAGGAACTCAACAGGATTCAATGATAGCGTAGCTAGGGTTTGCATGGGGGCATTAATGGCGGTAGGTTTTAAAAGTTTTGAATAATCCATGGGTTTGGGATTGTTGTTTGTGGTCGTGGATGGCTGAGCGACGTTGGGGGGAGGTAGGGGAGGCAGCGCACCCACTGGGGGTGGCTGGCCACCGGCCATGGTGGCCATAGGGGCAGTCGCCGGCGTGGATTTTTGATCACCCAAAAAATCGCCCTTGAGGAGAGAGAACAGAGCGTTTGGGCGCTTGGGTTTTTTCGGGTTTTTCTTTCAGTTTTTTTTAATCTTCAAGTGAGGGTTTTTAATTTTTCAAGTGAAAGAAAATGGAAGCTGAAAAGCTTCACTTTCGTGAAAGTGAGGGAGGGGTTTGGGAAAAAAAGAGGGAAATGATCAAAAAAGAGGAAAAAATTGGGTTAGTACGTGTTTTTTTTTATTGTGTGGAAAGGTTGGCGGACTTGTCTTCAAATCAAACGATCCCTCAATATATTATTTTTTACACTATCTAATTGAGTCGACCTATAATAATAAGTTAGCCTTTATATATAGCAAACTTTGTATGGCAACTTGGAAAATAGAGAAATACTATGTTATATATCTTGTTAATTGAACTAATATTGCTGCAAAAATCATTTACAACGTCAGTATATTAGACTAAAATCCTTTTCAAAGGCATACAGTATATTCTTATACCATTCAAGCATTCATGGATAGCGTGAAAAAAGTTGAGCATGGTTCTGGGCTGGTAGACACGGGCGGAGCCAGCCTTATAGCAACGAGTTCGGTAGAACCTAGTAGCTTTAGACCAACCTATGTATTTCTGTTGAAACAATCATCAAATATGTATAAGTAATATATCCAGAACCCAGTAATCAAAAAGAATTTTGGTGCAGAACGCACAAACTAAAAATCCTAGCTCCGCATACTGATATATCAATTATATGCAGGTAACTCGTCTAAGATGTGGTGGTTTTATCTTCGCGCTAAGATTAAACCACACAATGAGTGATGCACCCGGTCTCGTCCAATTCATGACTACAGTGGGTGAAATGGCACGCGGTGCATCTGCTCCATCTATACTTCCAGTCTGGTGTCGAGAATTGCTAAATGCAAGAAATCCGCCTCAAGTGACATGTACACATCACGAATACGATGAAGTACCCGATACAAAGGGCACAATTATCCCCTTAGACGACATGGTTCACAAGTCTTTCTTTTTTGGCCCTTCTGAGGTCTCAGCACTTCGCAAATTTGTCCCTCATCACTTGCGTAAGTGTTCCACTTTTGAACTACTCACAGCAGTCCTTTGGCGTTGTCGAACAATGTCCCTAAAACCTGATCCAGAAGAGGAAGTTCGCGTTCTTTGCATTGTCAATGCACGTTCGAGGTTCAATCCTCCTTTGCCTACTGGCTACTATGGCAACGCCTTTGTATTCCCCGTAGCAGTCACAACTGCGGCTAAGCTGAGCAGAAATCCACTAGGATATGCACTCGAGTTAGTGAAGAAAACAAAGACGGATGTGACTGAAGAATATATGAAATCAGTGGCAGATTTAATGGTGATAAAAGGGAGACCCCATTTTACAGTGGTGAGGACTTATCTTGTATCAGATGTGACTAGAGGTGGATTTGGAGGAGTGGATTTTGGATGGGGAAAAGCAGTATATGGTGGACCAGCTAAAGGAGGAGTGGGTGCAATTCCTGGTGTGGCTAGTTTTTATATACCATTTAAAAACAAGAAAGGTGAGAATAGAATTTTGGTACCAATTTGTTTGCCTTGTTTTGCTATGGAAACATTCATCAAAGAACTTGATGGTATGTTGAAAGGTGATGCTCAATTAGTCAACTCAAACTATGCCATTATAAAACCTGCCCTTTGAGATATTAATTACTCCTATGAATTAATTATCTCGAATACTTCATCTGTTTTTGTGTGTGTGTAATTTCAAATTAAATGTTGCAAGTTTTCTCTTTTATCACATGTAATTTTAAATGTCGTATGTGTCCGTTACTTCAACCAGCTGCATCTAAAGGGTCGTAGACAATGTCTTTCTATTGCGGCCAAACGCACACGCAAGTATACGCGGTCGTCAAATAATAAAGTGACTAAAAGTCGGATATCGAACTTACGAGAACTTGTGATTAACTATTAACTAAATAAGACTATCCTAATTATCTAAACAAGATTAAACTCAAAAGTAGTTATGCTAAAGTAATTAAACTAAAAAGAAAATAACTAGTGAACAATAAATAGAGGAAGAGCAGTTTTTTATATTATCAATGTGATAAAACGATCTAGGGTTATGGGCTATCTAATATTCCTATTGTATTCTTCAATTGAACTGACTAACTAATTTATCCAATTTATTAGTTAACAGGGTTAATATTGCTCATAAGAATCTGTCGAGTTCTTACTCGCCTATTCAACCTAACCTAACGCCTATATATCTATGGAATTAGAACTAACAAGAACGCATTTATAATACCTATTAAATCAACCAAGCAAGGCAGTTAGATATATGTCTATCCTAACCGCGAATCCGTACCCCGATGCCCAGGTTCAAGAATTTGCTTTACTCAATCCTATATGCAATCTAGAATTCCCACTTTCGAGTTCTAGATTCGTAGATAGTAGTTAATTGGTGATCAATCAATTAAATAATTAAGCGCAGGATTGAATAAATAAATCAATACGATAAACTAAGAAATCAAAATAAATATTCGAATAACGATAGCCATGAAAGAACCACAACCCTAGAACGTGAAGTTTAGTTCCACATACACATGGTAACAAAATAATAAATCATACAAAGAAACATAAAAATTACTAAGTTTGGTGGAAGAAAAGACGAAATCCGACCTCCACGGCGGCTTTGTGCTGTCCCTAGGCCAAAAGTTTGTCAAAAGTTACTCTAAAAAACATTTTTATATGTATTTATACCAAGTAGGGTCGGGCCCGGATGAAAACACCTTCTTCTGCGCGAATTGGGATAATAACTCTGTAAAAATTGCATAGGCGCGCCGCATGGGGCGACGCGCCATGCGGTGTAGTAGTGGACTTTATCAGAGAACTCAACACTTGAAGATGCAGGCATATTTTGTACAGACGCGGCGTGGTAAGCGTTGCACAGTGCATCGCGTGTTGATACCCAATTTTTCTCTATGTATTTTTTTAATATGCAAAATACCTTCAAAATAGCGTATGTATGTATATATAATGTATGTCCAAGTGTCTCATTATTTTTTCTTTCAATTTATTTCCCTATTTTATCCATAAAAACCCAATAATTATTTCTAAAATTATCATTTTTTGGTGATTCACTTGTTGAACTTTTATATTTATGCTAAAATATAGCTAAGGGAATTTTTGCATATTTTTTACAAAATTATTTAGTATTTATAAGGCTAAATTGTATAATTGCAATATCAGCCTCTTTTAGGATTTAATTGCGTTTATGTTCATGAAATTAAGTCCAGTATTTTTTAAATGGTTAATTATATGTCATAAATTATTTTAGTACTTTTAATTTGTTTCCAGAAAACAATTTACAATTTTTATAATTTTAAATAGGGAAAAATGGCTATTTAAATGATAGCCCAATTTCATTCCAACTATAGCTTGAAATTGAGCCCAAATCAGACCCAATTTCCCAACCCAATTGCAACTCAAACCCGACCCTCTTACCCAATTTAAATGACCCAACCCGGACTCCCCACCTAACCCCTTTAATCCCAGCCGTTGATCGTTTAGATCAACGACTCCCATTACCCCTTTCCTTTTTTAACCCAAACGACCCCTTTACACTACCTCATTCCTCACCAACCGCCGCCTCTGAATCCCTCTTCTCTCTCAACTCTCTTTGAAACTCTTGCAAACCCTAGCCACTGTCATCAAACTACACCCTAATCAACCCTAAGCCCTGCCTAATCCATGGCCCCTCGTGGTCACTTGAGACGTGTAGGGACCTCCTATGGCTCCTTGGTGTTTGTTCTTGTGGTTTCACGGTCAGACCTTGAGGGAGTCTGGTCCAGTCCTTGTTCGATTTCAGTTTGTGGCTCTTCTCCGGTCATCCTTGACCTTTCTCCGGCCAGCTATGGCCGTTCGAGTCAGATCCTTGACTCCCCTGCTTAGATCGGTAACTTTCAGGGCCTTTCTCACCTTTTCTGGGTTTTTCGAAACCCTAATCTTTAAGATCTTTCAACTTTCTTTCAGATCTGCTTTAGATCTGTACTTGCTATGACTTTCTTAAGTGTTTCTCGAAGGTTCTTTAACCTGCTTTCAAAAACGACTCTTCATTTTCTCCGATTAGGGTTTTCCTTTAAGTTATTTCAAAAAAAATCTCTTCTCTGATTTTAACGTGTTTCTGATTTTGCTATGTTTTGTTCATGTTGTTCTTCTATCTGAGTTAGCATGTTCAAACCCTAATATCTTTTGGGTCTCAATCGAGTTCCGAAGCTGTTTGTTAGATGTGTGCTTGTTTGTTTAAATTCTTGCTTGACTTGTTTGTTTACCATTTTTTGAACTCGATTGTTGTTCAAAACCCTAGGTCTTTGGATCTGAAATTGTTTGTTTTAACACTTGACTCGTTTGAAAGTTCTTGTTCCAGACTCTCTTTTCTTTATGTGACTTATCTGATTTTTACTATCTTTCAACTCGACTATGGCTGAAATCCTAACTTTTCAAAAAAGGTTTCCTCACCCATTACTATGAGACCCTTACTTCTTTGACTCTCTTCTTCACTTTGGCTATATGTGTGAGCCCTGACTATCTATTGAATCCTATGTTTATTGCTACTACTATTGCATGTTGTTTCTTTTGCCAATGTGCTTGGCCTCGCATGTCTAATGTCTTCCGTTCACTCTGTTTATATACTAAAGTGCAGAAGCATGTTTCTTCTTTGATTGACCCTCATCGTGTGACCGATTTCAAAGCTTTTCTTTTATGAACCCTAATTTCACTCGCCTGTTTAGAATTGATTGATTCTTTTCCCTTTACTGTAATATTTACCTTGCTGAATCCTTTCCAAAAATAAGCATATTTTCGTACTCAGACTTGATTCACTGCATGCTTTTACTACTCCTTTTATGGCAATAATCAGTCTGTCTCTAAACTGATTTCTTTCCTTATTTGAATCTGTTACTACCCGTTAAAAATTTATTCCTTAATTAAAGGGAATCACTTGTATAATTGATTCTGACTGTTGATTGTTTCCTTATTTGTATTAAACTTTACTTATTACCCCTCCTTCACTCGTTTTCAAAAAACTATAAATACCCTGCACCCCTCTTCTTTCAAACGAACGGAACAAACCATCTGAGTTCAGAACACACACTTCACTCAAAACTCTCTCTCTTTTCTCTTTTACTACTTGTGCTTGCTGCTTTGTCTAGCCGGCTGAAAGCCAAGGCTAGGCTGTGGAAATTCATTTACCTTTTCCCTTCTGCATTCGCTTCTTACCGGTATGTCCTAGTTAATTTTCCAGCATCAACAACAACATGTCTCTTTACTATTTCTTTCCATCTTGCCTGTTTCCTGCTTATGTTTAATCAAGTTTTATCACTAAGCATGTTGTAAATTAATGTGTTCCTTTATGTATAAATACTCTGTCAGTCATTTGATTATATGATTATGACTCATGAATCCCAAACCCCCATATCCCATATGTGCGTGTATTCTCTGGTTGGTTTGAGGGCATGTCAGCATTAGACATTGTTGTGCATGACCCAAACCTGACCCTCCCTGGGGTCATATGCTTCATGTCCCCTCTATGTGTTGTGTTCTCAGGCTGGTTTATGGGCATACCAGCACCATCTATTGCTGTGCATGACAAAACCTGACCCCTCCTAGGGTCATATGCTCCCGGCAATGTATTCCCAAACCCCTGACCCCTTGTGCAAAATGCTGATTATGTGCAGAGTTAGCTTTACTACTACTGTTTTCCAATTACCCTTACCCTTTACTATTCTCAACCCTATTTTAAACAGATCTCTATCTCTGCACTTCCACTATACTCTTAGACTTAGGTTCTGCCCCTCTTACGTGAGCCTTGCCTTGGGACCCATGAGCTCCCTCTGAACTTGGACACATAAAGGCTGGCCCTTCCACATTGCACTCATCTCTATCTGGTTATGCAAACTTGGGTGTAAGCACTGCCCAGGGTCCCTTGAGACCCAAAGGGAACTTTGACACACTCAAGTCTGAGAAAGGCTTTGAAACAAGTGGCATTTGAGGTGTTTTGTTCCATAACTTAGAGAGAAAGTCAGAATCAGGCTTCCTATGGCTGTAACTTCTTATTTTACATATTTTTGATGTAATTCAGCAATTGGTCTGTGATAATTTGTAAACAGATATTGGGGTTGGCTAGTGGAAAGGGATGGGTAACTATGCATGTTTAGCTATTAGAAGGGTAGATAACATGCCTATAGGACCTGTTTTAAATTCCGCATGTTTTTAATTCTACATATAGATAACATGCCTATAGGATCTGCTTTAAATGCTGCATGTTTTATTCCACACCTAGATGTCTTGCCTATAGGATCTATTTCAAATTCTGCATTTTTATTCTACATCTAGATATCCTGTCTATAGGATCCGCCTTCAAATTCTGCATAGTTTAATTCCACACTTAGAAATAATGCCAATAGGGTCTAATGGTTACTATCACACATCATGTCCATAAGCTAAAATCAGGTTTCAAACTAGGTGTCATGCTTATAGGGTTAAATATCAATATAGAAATCATGCCTATAGGAATCTCAAGTAAATCCTACCTGCTTCGTTTCATGTTCGACTAGATATCATGTCTATAGAAATTTAAAAATCAGCAATAGTAGAGATCATGCCTATAGGATCTGGAACCAGTCTAGTTTAAAATCAGTTTGATACTGTTCTGAACCAGTCTTAAGCAACCTACTCTCCTTTTATTAATACGGTTTAGAAAGCATGCCTATAGGATCCCAC